TGCCTTTCATCTCCCAATGTAGAGGAGACTGCATTGTGAGCAGTAAATACAGTAGGTGACGTTGAATGAAGTGCAGGTAAATTGCTGCTTCACCCAGAAGGTGTGTTCAAGGCCTTGGCGGGAGCAGCTAAATGACAAATGTTGCACCTTCTGCACTTGCGTGGGAAGTGTTGGGAGTAGGACAGGTGTCCAGAGGGATCGATCCCTGTTGAATGCTGACAAGGAAGGGGGAATGTGTCTGAGGTGGTGGAAATGGTACATCTTCCTTCATGCTAGTTATGACGAGAGCCTGTAAAGAGTTTTGCCCCCTGACTTTTTTTATAGTTTGTTAGGGTGCTTTGATGCTATACTTGGTCAAGGGCAGTCACACTCACATCTCTGGAGTGCACCTCTGATCAGTTTTTGAATCAAGGTTGTAATGAAGCCGGGAGCGGAGTGTTCTTAGCACAGCTGAGCATCACTTATATTGTGTCAAGTAATTTGGGGTGATAATTGGTTTCTTTGGATTTGTTCTGCTTTTGTGTATTCAAAACCACCTGGGCTACTTTTCATGGTGGCTACCATTGTTGTCACTATACTGGAAAAGCTTGGCTAGGGGTTCGGCTTGTTCTGCAGCACTGGTCTTTCCGTATTTTTGCTGGAATATTGTCAGGGCCTACAGCCTTTGTGGTATCTAGTGCCTCCATCTGTTCTTGGAGGTTCCTATGGAATGAATCAAATTGCCTGAGAACTGGCACCTGAGATTCTGGGAACCTCTGCAAGATGCCAAGCTGGATTATCCAGTCTGTACGTGTGGCTGAAAATTGTGAATGCTTTCTTTTACACTGCCCTGCTGGTCTTTCACCAGCGTTGAGGATTAAAATATTGATGGAAACTCCTCCAGTGATATTTTTTTCAATTACTATCACCATTCATGATGTGGCAGGACAACGGCGAAGGGTCTAGACCCGACACTTCAGCTTTCCTGCTCCTCTGATGCTGCTTGGCCTGCTGTGTTCATCCAGCTCTACACCTTGTTGTCTCGGATTCTCCAGCATCTGCAGTTCCTACTATCTCTGATGGAATCTATCCCGTTTAGCATTGTGATTGATTTGTTTCACAGAATTTCCTCACCGTGAAGAAGACTTTTTCTCTATGTACTGTGCAGTGGTCACTCTCTTTGACACTGTCATAGACAGATTGATCCATAGGTAGCTAACTAAGGTCAGATACGTACCCCTTTTTTTTTTTTGTTCCTTCATTACCTGCTCCATACCCAGTCTAGTAGCTACATTCTTTCGGATTAGGCCAGTTTGTCAGTAATAATGGTGCTGCGTGACGCTTTGCGATAGACTCCAAATCCCCTACTCAGTAAATTCTGCACCTTAGAGCCACCCTCGTTGTTTCCTCCAAGTAGTGTTCAACATGAAATACTGCTTCATAAGCTGAAGGACTTGAGGGTAGGTGGTAATTAGCAGGGTGCTTCCTTATCCAGGTTTGACTGGATACCGTGAGACTTCATGAGATCGGAATCTTGTGTTGAGGACTCCTCGGGCAACTCCCTGCTGTCACCATACCGTCGTGCTGTCACGTCTGCTAGATCTATTTTGTGGAAACCTGAAATATTGCTACCTGAAATTTATTTAGGTAAAGAATTGGTACAAAGATAAGAATTTCTATTAAGGTTCAGTCCTCTGATTGTAACCATACTAATTCACAGAGAAATTGTGGGCAAATTTCAGCTTGAATTAAAATGTTGCTAAACTGTTGTCTGTATGGGACACTTTATTTATGAAACAGTTCTCAAGATTTATTTTTCCAGTTAAGGAAACTTATCACATTCTCAAAACATTTTAAGATTCAATGCATGCCACTTTATTGTTTGAACTACTTTCTCAACATTTGAAAAGATGGCTTTCATGCGTAAAAGTCAACCTCTCTGATCTATAAGATGTTATATTGGGTCACATTGTATTTTTTTAATGAAAGATTTGAATAAAAGTGAAGCAATATTTGGATCAGATGCCCATTTACAGTAGGGGTGATTAAAATGCTGGATTGCTCCAGAAACATACAGTAATTTGTGTATTGGTTGGGAGTGAGGGTGTTATGGTGGTCTGAAAATAAGTTTGTTTTGGGATGAATAATTCAAGAGGTTGAATGACCTTCCTTATTGTTCAAAATTTGTGATCTTCAGTAGTTTACAGCAGGATGACTCATCTGCCTTCATAGGTTTATGCATTGCATTGCATTGTGCTTTGTCCTCTGGTCACTAATCTGTTCTGCTCTGTGTTCCCTAGCGCATGTGACTACTGATACAACTTGTGATTCAGTCTGTGTGAATTTTATATTATCGGGGGAAAAAAATGCTTGATCCATTGGAGAATCTTTCTCAATGGTCCTTTTCACAGACTTTGAATTTCATGAGTAATGTCTTGTATCTTGATGAGAGATCTTGGGGAAAATCCAGAGGTTTTGCGTTTTGGTGTATTCTCTGCTTGTTTAAATGTTGTACCTTGCAAACTTGCAGGCATAAAAGCTGCTTCCATCTGTTTTCTGTCAAAGCCTCTCATTACTGTACTACCATTCTCGCTGCACAACCACATTTGGTTACCAGATCATTCATAGTCTTGACATTCTTTTTAAACCAGCTCATTGGTGCTTGGTTACTTAGAGCTCTGGACTTGGGTAACAGAAACTTTAGAATGGTATTTTAACTTTGAGGGTTGAATGAGTTAAAATGGTGCCCTGCATACTAGGTTAATGATGTTTGATTGAAAACTTGCTGGTGAAGTTAAGTTGGCATATATTTAGTGTTTTTTTTTGCATGCACAGGTATTGTGTTAGCATGCATTTCTACCCCACTGAAAAAGTTAGATTTATTTCCCAGCTCATTTTGGGAGTCATGATTTGCCAGTGAAAGATTTAGCCTCCCTTATCCAAAAGGGCCATACATTGGAAAAATAACAAACTCTTTGAAATGAGATACAAATAATGCTGCAGGCAGCATATACAAAGTAAAATGGAGATAATGGTAATAAGGTGAACTGCCACAGCTGCGGCTTTCATCAGTTATTTGAATGCAGGATGGTTGGTGGCCAAGCACTTTGTAGATATTCCTGAGGACCTTCTTACACTTCCTTTTACGATGCTTTGTTTCATTTGCGGTTCTTAAGTTAATGAAGCAGCCCATGCCCACAAGTGCAAGACCTGTTAAATTTACAAGCTTTGACTTAATAGCAAGCAAATTAAAATTCTACAAGGAAAGCACATCTTTCAGTAGGTGTCTAAACTTTGATATAAAATGTCAATGTTTGAAATTTCCAACTAGCAAAGTCAAGGTACAGCCTTGACTAGAAATTCAACTGAGCTACTCAAATGAAATCGCTTGGTTATTAGTGGGTTAGAGGCTGTGTATTTTGTGTCCATTTTAGCTTCTTGGCTCCCCCAAAGATACCCTAATACCTGCAGGACACAAGTCAAGAGGTGGCTAAAATACTTTCTGCCTTCATAGGTGCAATTGGAATAACACAAACTTGTGGGTACAGTGTGTAATGAACTTGAACTTCTTCTACACCTTCCATTTCCCACCATCACAAGAGAAAGGAAATACTGTGGGAGTGGAGCATCACCTGTAAATTTGCCATTCAGGTCTCATGCCATCCTGACATTTGTGTTTCATAGCCTTACTTTAGTAATTGCTGAAAATCCTGAATCCAGTCTTCAAAATGACTAGATCCTTTCATATCAATCATCCTTTTCTCTTTGAAAGAATTTCATAAATTTAATAGCCTTGCTTTTGTTTACCTTCCCAATTTTCCCATCTTATTGCTCCATTTTCAGTGCTGTTGTTCTCTAGATGGCATTCCTAAAGTTCTTTGATCTTGGTCCTTTCAGATCATGGTTCCCTGTGCTCATGGAGCCTCCTTACTGATGTTTCTGCTGTCCTGGGATGCTGCCCCAAAATCTGAAAGGCCCACCCTTCAAAATAATGCTGCAGTTGGAGACTGCATTCAGGACTGTCTGAACCATTCCTACCTTTTTGTCTACTGTATCACCTAGACTGCTATGCTGCTGATGTCTTCCTCTCAGTAATATTCAGCATAATGCTCTTTATTAGTATAAAGAATAAAATGCCTGGGTAATTCAAAAGTTTACCTCCTCTCTTTGGAGTTTAGCAAATCTAGAGAAGATCGTGCTGAAATGCTGCTTATTATATAAATTATTTCTGATCACTTAAAATTGAAATCTGCAGAAATAAACTGTTTCAAGCTGGTTATGTGGCTATGACATAAAGTTCTGATCTGTGGTTGAGCATGAATATTTCAATTTTAGTGCCTATATTACTTTGGAGATGCTTCGAAAGCAATTTGATTGCTCAGGAACAAGATCAAGACAGATTTTTATGTTGCCATCTAGTGTTTTGGATGTAGCTGTGTAGTTAGACAATAAAATGTAGAGCAGAAGTATGCCATTCTGCCCATTTGAGTGTGCTCTGCTATTCAATGAGATCATAACTGAGTTGATAATCTTCAACTCCACTCTCCTGCCTTATTGCAATAACCCTTGATTCCTGGAATGGTTCAAAATCTGCTGCCACCACCCTGTATATGTTGAATGGCCCAGCCTCTCATGCCCTCTATATAGTAAAGAATTCCTCTAAGAGTTCTTCTCCTGTACCCTCTGGGAGGACAAATTCCCCCTCGTATCTGTCTTAAATGAGCAGTCCCTAATTCTGAGATTATATGCTCTGCTACTGAACTCGAGGGGGAAGCAACCTTTCAACGTGTACCTTGTTAAGCCTCCTAATAATTTGGCATTTCAGTATGATCTCAATCTGCTGAACTCCAGAGATGAGGCAAACCTGTTCAACCTCCTCCTAAAATCCTTGCATGTTTATGCTGTTTTGAATTCTGACTAAATGACTGAAGAGGCAGAAAAGAATAATGAGACTATGGAGTCCACCAGTGTTATGGTACAGTGAAAGATGGCTTGGATAGTAATGTCTATTTATTTTCCAGGTTGCTGTTTACTGAGTTCATTACGTAAGGATCATGGGGGATGAATGCGAATGGATGAAATTGCCGATTGACCAGAAATGTGAACATAAGGTGTGTGTCAAATTCTTCTTTAGTTACAAGTATTGTTGGAATGATCACTAAATATTTATTTGTGGAGAATTAATTAAGCATTGACTAAATCTGTGGTAGGTACATGTGCAAGAGTTTTCATTAAATATCTCAGTTCTAGGAGGTTTTATTATTCGTTCATGGGACGAGGGTGTCACTAGCTAGGCAGCATTTATTGCCTAGAGGGCAGTTCAGAGTCAACCACATTGCTGAGAGTCTGGAGTCACATGTAGGCCAGACCAGGTAAGGATGGCAGTTTCCTTCCCTAAAGGACATTAGTGAACCAGATGGGTTTTCCCGACAATTGGTAATGGATTCACAGTCGTCATTAGAATCTTAATTCCAGATGTTTATTGAATTCAAATTCCACCATCTGCTATGGCAGGATTTGAACCTGGGTCCCCAGAATGTTATCTGGGTCTCTGGATTAAGTGCCCAGTGATAATACCACTGGGCCGTCACCTCCCCAAGAGTGCAAGACTAGAAATCTGAGGGACTAGAATCGTTTGAAGGTGTATGGACAGTTCAGAAGACAGAGTTTTTTTTTGAAACGTGTAATTACTCTTTTGCTAAAATCAAAAAGATTTCAGCAAAAGAGTAATTACAAGGCTGGCTAGTTCTGATAAGCCTTTTATAAACCACTGTTTAGGTCTCGGCTACATTACTGCCCACATACATAATGGTAAAGTATTGTAGAAGATGTGGAGTTGGGTACAGAATACTGGGCTCCTCTTTTTGTAACAAGATAGAGGTCTTCAAAGATCTTTGATCAAGTGCATGAGAAACTATTCCCACCTTTTCTCTCCCTCCAATACCTTGGCAGAAGGGCCAGATACTAGATGGTACAGATTTGAACAGTATTGCCAAAAAATTTGGGGTGACAACTTTGTGTTCAAAACATTTCCTTTATTTGTAGTGCACAGTCTGACATGATAGTGGGAGCTAATTCAGTAAAGTTGGATAAATAGGCAGATAACAGTAATAATTTTCATTAGGACTGTGGCAGGTTAAAGAGAAAGAAGTTAGCATCTGTAAGAGCAACAGTAAAGCTGTTTTTTTTTTAAAAGACAGTTCTTTTCTAGTTTCAATTTAACTCTTATTTTAAAATTCAAGATATTTTCCATCAACATGTTCAGAAATGTTATTACACACCACCTGGAGCAAGTGGGACTTGAACATGGGCTTATGGTTGAAAGTTACGATCTCAAGGTGAGAGGGGAAAAGTTTAAGGGAGATATGCGTGGAAAGTTCTTTACGCAGAGGGTGGTGGGTGCCTGGAACGCGTTGCCAGCGGAGGTGGTAGAGGTGGGCACGATAGTGTCACTTAAGATGTATCTAGACAGATATATGAATGGGCAGGGAGCAGAGGAATACAGATCTTTGGAAAATAGGCGACAGGTTTAGATGGAGGATCTGGATCAGCGCAGGCTTGGAAGGCTGAAGGGCCTGTTCCTGTGCTGTAATTTTCTTTGTTCTTTGTTAGGGACACTACCAGTGCACCACAGATCCCTTTTAGTCCACCTGGTGTTACCAGGTGGTCTCCCATCCAAGAACTATGCAGGCCTGAGTCAGTTTAGCTTCAGATCAGTTGTTTTAAAGGCTGTAGGCTTGTAAAAATTATACACTTGCATTTGATTGAGTGCCCTCTGCACACGAAGCAGCTCAATTCCTTGATGCTGCTCCACTGTCTCAGGTCAACTAATTGTGATGGACAACAAATATTTGCCAAACCAGGGCTATCCACCAGACAGGATGAGTTGACAGAGGCTTAGAAGATATGGGGGAGAAGCTAAAGAAAAATAAAAGCAGAAAATGTTGGAGAAACTCAACACATCTGGTAGCATTGATGGAAAGAAAATAGTTAACGTCGAGTGCCAGTCTTTTCGGAACTGATTACTTCAGTTTTATTTGAGGACGGGGAAGCTTTTGAGAGTTTGGCTAGCTGCTGAGTAATTGGAAAGGGAAGTAGGAGGTGCAGAGAAATTTTTATCTTGCTGATGAAAGGCCATGAGCTCCTGCTCGCACGGATGGGGCAGTTTTAGAAGATACCTGTGTATCTGCTGGTTTTAGTAACAGATTCATGCCTGCAATTGTGTCAGGGTGGAGAAGATGCAGTTTGGAGCATTGATTAATTACTTTTCAGCAAAGGAGGAGGTCAGCATTCTGAAGTTCCCAAGGGCACTAATATTTGAAAGACTGACTTGTATTTATGTAGCATGTAATTTGTGTTTATATTTGATGCCACTAGCACTTTACACTGTGTGAAATATTTTAGAAGTGTCATCACTGTTGTAGGAAATGCAGCAGTCAGTGCGCGCGCAAGAATACATTTTGGCTGGAACCCAGGATAGTGCTCTCGCTCTTCTCCAAAGTGGTGTCGTCTTTTACATCCATACAAGCAAACAAATTGGGACTCATCTCACTAGCATCTCTTTCTATAGATGACTCCTCTGACACTGCAGCTCTCCATTGGTATTACACTGGAGTATCAGTAATTTTTGTATTCAAGTCTGGTGTTGGACTTGAACATAGAAACATGTGACTTGTGAGAATATTGCCCATGGGGCCATGGCTGACACTTCTATTAACTTGGAAAATGGAGTTACCAAAATTAATTTTAATGAAGTAAATGCCACGGATGAATGACAAGTTTGCAGGACCATATAACTTCTGTCCCTTGCTTCAAAGGATCTAGTGAGAAAATTGCATATGCAAAAATCTTTTTGACTTAAGAATTTTTTTTCAAAGGGAAGTTTCTAAAAGGAAACTTGCACATTTCATTTGATTGTTCATGTGATGGAACAGGTAAATTATTTGCCAGGTAAATTATTTGCCAGTTAAATTAACACTTATGGTTAGGAACAATAATTAAGGATGGGTGACTGAACACTTTGAAAACTTCCAGCTCATCAGAGAGCCATAATGGGTTTATACAAGACAAGTTATGTCTGAACTGGATTAAACATTTTTTTTTGAAGCGATGAATATAGTGGGCAGGGGGAATTCTATCAAACACCTTCTCTGTAAATATACATAACATTCCTAATAGGGCACTGCTGATTGAATTTGAACCACGTGGAATTAAATGTACCCTTTTGCCTGATTGGGGAAATTCCCTGACTGGTAAGAGACAGTAATGATGAAAGGAATGTACAGTACTCTAATCGCCAGGATGTGGTTCATGGTGTCATAGTCAAATCCAACTTGGAGTCTCAATTATTGACTATTCATTGATCACTTGGGTAATAGCATTGAGAGCCACATCCAAATTTGCCAATGGCACAAAGGCATTTGTAAGTTCCATGTATGTATATGGAAACATGATATAACTAAAATTAATAAGTTATGAAATGGATTTCAATGTAGGCAAATGTGAAGTCATTCATTTTAAACCTAAGGGTACTTTAAATGGTAAAAAGCTCGAAACAGTGCTGATCTAAGAAACTTGGGGCTCCAGGCATGTGACTAAGTGCTACAAACAGTGTAACCGTAATTAACGTTTGTTGAATGCTGGCCTTTGATTCAGTCCTTCAGCTATTAGGAGTTGAAGTCATGCTTCAGCCATGCAAGTTCCTGTTTAGTTCAGTACCATGGGCAATTCTGGCTACCGCTTCCACAGCAAGATTATCATTAATGTGAATGATACCCGGACTCTAGACTAAGCTGAGGAGAGATTAGTCAAACTAGAATTGTAATTTGTAACAAACAAAGTTTTGGAGAAACTCGGTCTGACTGCATCTGAACGGAGAGAAATTGGTTAAGATTTCAAGCCCAGTGACCCTTGCACCTGTCTGACTTGTGCCTGTGACCGACACAGGCATTTTTTTGTCTATAGTACTGATAGATCGTTGCATCAAATCATTGGCACAAAACGTTGTCTTCACCATGCACAACCTTTGATTAGAAGACAGTCGAATCAGATTGTATTTGGTGAGTGATGAACAGAGGTGAATCCCAATTTATTTACACTTGCTAATTTGGCAAATAAGTGCAGCAGTGATCAAGTTCAGTATTTGTAAAACTGGTGCAAGACTGAAGAAGAAATCCACTCTGAAGAAAATGCCCAAAATCAACCGCTCTCCTGATGCACATCAGAAGAGTCCTTAACATAACCATTCTGATGGTTTTTGTCACCGGAAATGTTGTCTGTGTATACAGGTACTGAAGTGGGCAAAATCCAAACTGGAGTACAGGAAAAAGAAGAAAAATTTAGCGCAATTGTTTGTTGGTGTAGTCACTTCATATAACAAAAATGTCTAGAGTTGTTACAGAAGACCAAGAGTCAGCAGTGCTTACCAGCAGCAAAAACAGAAGTTGCTGGAAAAGCTCAGCAGGTCTGGCAGCATCAGTGAAGAAAAAAATCAGTTAACGTTTTGGGTCGGTGACCCTTCCTCGGACCCGAAACGTTAACCCTGATTTATTTATTTATTTATTTATTTCCTCTTCAGATGCTGCCCGACCTGCTGAGCTTTTCCAGCAACTTCTGTTTTTGTTTCTGATTTATGGTATCTGCAGTTCTTTCAGCCCTTACCAGGACACCTTGCTACCAAAATTGCCAGCTTCCAGCAACTCATTAGACAGTGGCATATCAGCAGCAGTGAAATTCACAGATGTTTTATCAAATTGCCAGCATTTGAATGTGAAATAGGTTTGAAAATAGTTCTAGTGGAAGCCACAGGATACGAGAGAAGACTTCACTGTTGCTGACATGAAAAAGTAAAACTGATGATTTATAAAATTAATGCCATGCTGAAAAAATCAAATTTCCCTAGAGGAGGTTTTGTGTCCATGAAAACAGTTTGGATAAATGAGGATGTGGTGAATATGTGAATTGACAACATAAATTAGTCATTTCAGTGAGCTACTTTAAAGAGCCCAACTTAGTAATGTGGGAATAATACAGATCCAGTGTAACTGTGTTTCAGGTGTCTGGAGAAATATTACTCAAGTAGAAGTAATTAGGAGGTGGAGTTCTGTGTCAA